TGCCAAATCTATCCCAGCATCTCAACACTCAGCATCCAGCCTCGGCTCCCTGCACCTGGACGCAATCACAGAGCCGGACGGAGAATGGGAAAACGCCATCAGATTCAGTTCACCAGCAGCTGCTGTTTATTTACCCGGGATCCTTCCTACCGAGGAAAGATTTAGTGGGGGGAAAAAGCACTTCCCACCCCCTCAGGCTGCCACTCCGGGGACCATGCGGTGTGCGAGGGATGCCCTGGTGAGGAGGGGGCTGATGCTCTTGGCAGAGCTGTGAATGGGCCGTGGCAGGGTTGGCCTTTCCCAGCACAGCACCGGGGGCCTGGGGGAAGCCCACATCTGTGTGCGGGAGCCGGGCCAGCGCCGGTGTCCTGCGGGGATGGGCGGTGGAGGAACGCGGGGCTGCAGACCCATCGCTGCCCTGCGGAGGCGTTTCAAACATCGCATTCTTCTCTGCTTTGCTTTCTATTTCCCGCCCCCCTCCTCAAAAAGAAAACCATGCAAGCTCTGGAGTTAATTAAGCAAAGGACAGAGAGTCTGGGATGTGCTGGGGTACAGCTATGAAAGCAATCCTGCTCCAAAGGGAAAAGGGGTTTGCTTCTTGAAGGCTTCTCTTCACACGATGTCGTGCTTTGCATGGCCTATGGGATGAGTCCTGGGGCTGGCTGATTGTTCTGTGCCCCCCATGGCATCCCCCATACTCCCTCTGATGAGGATCCTTTGTGATGTGAGTGGACTGAGCTCAGCTTCAGTGCTGCCATAGGGTTTGGCACCACTGCAAAGTGAGTTATAGCTGATACCAAGCCTCTGCCCCCCCCCTCCTTGCCAAGGGGATTTGGCCACGTTATGTCCCTGCTTTGTGCCTTAGTTTTCTCTCTGCCTTATGCCTGAGAAATAGGCATTTCTCATATATACACCTTAAAGGGTGTATATAAACCCTAAAGAGTTTTTTGCCAGAGCAGCTCTGTACAGTGCTTAGCACGATAGTGTGCTGGTGAGATTTGCGGTACTCCCCCTTAAATTTGTAACAGTGAATTGAAAGGTACATGAGGCAGGAGCCAACCAAGGGAATCTCCTCTTCTAGCTTTGGGATTAGGGCATTTATCCCAGGATATAGGCTCTGCCACACCAGAGCAGGCAGGCATCCCTCTGGGAAGGAGAAACATTCCCAGGCTGCATCTGTGCCATTGTGCTCAGCTGAATGATGGGAAGGGGAGCAAAGGGGAAAATTAAATTTGCACCCTGAGCCTGGAGATTAGTTTCCCCTTATTGTTGTAGGAATAATTAAAATTGTTGGCCACATCATTGTTCCTTTTCACCTTCTCATAACCCACTTGCTGTATTTGATTCCCCAACCTCCTTCTGATAATTACACGTTGCACTGTGCTTTTACAGTCCTGCATGTCCTCTGTCACCATGGGCTCTTTCTCATTGCCACCCTCCCTTTTCACTCCACTATTTCATGGTAGCAATTTGCCCACCCTGCTGAGCAACGGTCCTTCATTCCCCCCATGCTTCTCTGGGAGGCCAAGATGGGTCCCCATGGACCAACATGGGGCAGTAACGTATGCCCACGTTGCTGAATAAAGCCACTTCTATACGATGCTCTCCCAGGCTCATCGAGGAGCAGAGTTATAATTCTGGGTGTGTTACTGCTGCTTTAGTCCTTTATTCCAAGTTGCTGGAGCTGGGTTTGACAAGGCTTTGCCTTGGCAGCCTTGCATTGCACTACACAGACCCTTGGCAGAAGAATGTGGAGAAAGCTGCCATCCAGGGAAAGCAAGTTCCCATCCCTGGGGATCGGCAGCACGATCCAGGCAGGACCAGTGCTCTCGGCCACGTTAGACAAACAAACATAGAGCTGGGGATGACAGGAGCTCATGGGCAGTGGCCGGTGGTGGTTTGACAGGTCATCAGGCCCTCACGGCTGCCATCTGCCACTGCAACCTCTGGGATGCAGTGGGTGTCCCTGAGGGGACAGGGATGAGGAAGAAGAGAAGGAGGGAAAGCTGCTCCTGGCAGCTTTGGAGCAGGGCTGGCCTGAGGCTGTGAGCTGGAGGAGGCATATTCTGGCAGAATAATACTGAAAATAAACCCCACTAAACTTATTTTTAGCCCTGCTGATGATGCTGAGACTATTTAGGGGCTGGCTGACACTGTGGTCTGGGGCGCTTTGACAAGCCCCAGTTATCTTGTGTTTTGTCCTTCGATCGTAAAACTTGGTGGGAGAGTGAGGCTCATTCCTGTGCGTTGGTCAAGGACCCCATGCCTAGGATGCCTGAGCTCTTTGGTGTAGGAAAGAATAAATACAAATAACGATTCACCAGGAATTTACTATGTCTGATACAAACTCTCCAGCTGTTCAAACAGGGAGAAGGAAATCTGCAGGGATGACTTTGGTCAGTCTGAGTGCGAGATGGATGCAGAACTGTGCCAGTAACTCATCAGACAACAAGGCAGATGTTTAAAGTCTATTCCAAATATGCATGGATAATGTCAGTGAGAAAACAACCCAACCTTTGTGGAAATGAAATGAAGGTCAAAGAAGAAGAAGAAGGGATAGCATCTTGTTATGGGCATACTAGAGAGGGAGATAGGGGAACTGGGTTTGGGTGACAGTGGGCAACTCATTAAATCACACGTGCTCCCACGGGTGGATGGGGGGGGGGGGGCAAAGCAATGCTGCCCTTCTCACAGGCCATAGCCAGCCCCCAGGATGCTTCCCAGCTTTGCTGTATGGGTCAGGAGTCAACATGATGCAGAGCAAAGCAGTAGCTCTTCTGTTTCAGTCTGCGCAAACCAACACAAACCACTTTTTAATGGCTTTAAAACCCTCCCTGCAAGAAGGTTTGACAAGGAAAACACATGAAGACCCATAAATTAGCTGCAGTAGCTGAAGCCCCATTGTGTAGGCAATGGCTCACAGCACACAACAGCTACTCCCGGTTAACAATGCGAGGAAAATCACTCTGCTCATTCTTTATCCTCTGACACAAAGTGCAGCTGCAGGAATACCTCAAACGGGATTTTAATGAAAGACAATCGTGTTCTTCTGGCTCTGCATGTTTGAGAATGAACCCATGGAGATAACGGGCCCGGGCTCACAGAGATAAACATGTCCAGATAATTAAAATTATGGCTTTCTTCTAACAGTAAAGGGCAAGATCCTCATCTGATACAAGCTGTTGTAGCTCAGTGCGGTCAGTGGAGTCACTCCTGCTTGCCCCACTGGAGACTGAGCCCACGGAATTGTCAGCAGGGAAATGGGATCCAGCAACCGGGCTCTGCAGTGTGGTCAGAGAGGTCGCTGTTTGGTTGGACGTGCCAGATTCTCATATTTCCCCATCCAAAATAAATCCGGGATTTTTGTATGTGTGTGCAAATGTCATCTGGGAGCTAAGCTGAGGGCAGACAAGCTGCCTGTGCGACAGGGGAGCCAGCTTTCAGGACTGCAGGCAAAGCAGAAAGCACTGGGTGCTAAAAGGAGGACACACATGAATTTTCCAAGTGGGAATACCATTGAATTAGGCTGGGAAGCTGTGGCAGGGAGCACGGGCAGCAGGAGATCAGGGTCATACACGTGCTTGGGAAGGGCTGGGGGCAGCTTTCGCTGGGATGACACACACCAAACGCCACAAGACATTCTGGGCCAGGTTCCTAGAGGATTTTCAAGCAAGGAGAGGTGCTGGAAAATGGCAGCCTGAAGGAAAGAAGTCTGGAGGAGCCTCTGGAAGCAGGAGGGGAGGGCAAGCAGGCAGGATTGCCCTGCAGAGGAGGAACAGGAGCGTGCACAGGGCCGGTGTCAGGGCTTGTCGGCACAGAGGAGCATAGCAAAGCTGCTATTGTGGAATAAAATATGCTGGAATGCAGACACGCCTATTCCAGAATAAAGCTGCTTTTTCCTAATTTAACTTAATCCACTATTTGTTTTTATTATTTTTATCATCATCAGATGCAGCTAATTTGGAAAAGCTGTTCCAATTAATTTCCCTGCATAGACAAGCAGTTACACGCTGGAAAGCCTTTGTCTGTTCGGTGGCAGCCTGACCAGCAGCTTCTATTCATTTCAAAACCAGCTCCTTTCTTCTGCCCTCTGATCATTTTTTCTTACTTTGTCCCATCAGACCATGAGGGGAACAGGAGTGGGATTTTTTCCTGGGAGCATGGAGCCTGGTAGCCCTGTTTATGGGATGAAGAGCAGGAAAGGAAGCATTATTTAAAGGGGAGGAAGACAAAGACTTCAGGAGAACAAGAGTCCAGGGCAATGGTCAAGGAGGCCATGAGGAAGATGCCATGAGGTAGAGTCTGCCATCCCCTTTGGACTATTTAAGCTGCAGGTAGTGCATGGCCCAAGACCTCAGTAGGAGGGTAGAAGGATAGGAGGTAGGAGTCCACCGGGTTGTCCACACTGGAGAGACCCACAGCTTGAATCAGAGCCAGAGCCAGAGCAATGGCTGTTGGCACCATAGTTGGCTTGGTGGTACCAAGACTATGCCAAGGATGGAGCAGCCCTCTTGGATGCACCCATGTCACTGGAAGGCAGGAGCATCCTGTCCCCGGGGGGGCTGCGGTGACTGTGCTATTCCTGGTGAGGCAAAGCTAGTTCTCGCAGAGCCCAGATGCTGCAGAGGAAGCTGCTGAAGGATGATCCGTCCTTTCCTTTGGCTCAGAGATGAAAGCAGCTCACAGGAGCTTGGAGCTATGAGCGAGTAACTGATTAACCAGTGCTGCAGATACTGCAGACGCTGTGAGAGCCACTGAGCTGGTTCTGCATAGCTCTTTCCCTCTTTAGCTTTCAGCCAGAGCAAGACAAGACTGGGGGGACCTGCACATCAGGAAAAGCCAAGACACAAACCCCTGTCTTCAAGCTGATTTTTTCCCTCCAGATCTTCAGTCTGTCTCTTTTTCTACTTCCTTTTCTTCCATTCTTTTCCTTTGGGACTCCTCCATCTCCTCGCTCCATCCCTTGTGGTCTTGTCCTTTGGCACTTTAGAGACTTGGCTCACCCTCCTTCTGACTGGGAAATGTTGGGAGGCCACAGTTACACGTTCATCTCCAAAAGCAACCTGAAAATGGTCCAGTCCATCATCCTCTGTGGTCTGGGCAATGGAGCCAGTGCCAGCAGAAAAAGCAAGTATACCCATTGCTTGTGTGGCAGGGAGCTTGCGAGAGAGAGAGATGCTGGGGGAGAAGGATGAAAGTTAAACCCCAAAGTCTCCTGCCAGATGTTGGGGGCACCTAAAGAGATGGCAGTGGCTGATGCTGGAAGGAAAGACAGCTTTTCTCCCTTTCAGGCAATTCCTATGTTGTTTGTGAGTCTCTTTTCTTCTAAGGCTTGACCTTGAGAGACACTATAAATGCCTTAAAATCTCAGTGCAGGACTCCTGCAAGCTATTTCATCATGCAATCAGGTTATCACTTGCTACAGCTCCTTCTCCCCCTGGTACCTTTGAGAAGGCTGTGTTCAGGGGAAGCTTGTGGATGAACTCCTCATGCTCAGGCTCTGATGAGTCAAAAACCAAAGCCTTCTGCCCCACCAATGTGTTTGGTCCCTCTTACCCAGTGCTTGCTGAATCTGTACCTCCCTGCTAATAAAGCCTGGTACTTTGTAGGGGCAGGCCCGCAAGAAAACAACAAACAAACATCTTCAATAGAAGGGATGTGCTGCCAGCCCCCTCCCTTCTCCAGCGAGTGTTTGTATGGTCCTGATTTCTGTACAGAGACTCTGATCTGCAAGTTGTATTCGTGACCATAAAACAGAGATTAGCTCTTATCTCTGGCAGGCAGCAATATCAGGCACCAGCCCTCTCTCCAAAGCGTTGGCAGCCAAGGAGCAGCCCAGCACACGAAGATGAACTAGTTGGAAGAGGAGGAGGTAAACAACGTGGGGAAAACCAGTTGTGGGAGGTGAACCTGGAGGATGGGATGATGCCAACCTGCCCTGGGCTGCAAGGGAGCCCCAAGCCCCAGCGCAAGGGTGAGAGGCAGGGGAGGAAGCGGTGATTAGACACCAGCGTCTGCAATCAAGAGGCAGGAAGCATGATCTTCAGGAAATGCTCGCCTCTTACCCTGTGTGATAAGGTGCCGAGTGCCCCACGGAGGAGGCACCCAGCCCTTCCGTGCCCCCCTGGCAGGGCGCCCGGTAGGCAGCACCCGAGGCCTGCGCACACAGGGAGCAGGTCCTGGCCACTGAGCCACTGGCAGCATCTTCCCAGGTATGGTTGTACCTGGATGGTGTATACCTGGGTGGAGGAGCTGTATAGACAGGCAAAACCACTGGGGTTCGTTTGGAGGCTTACTCACTGCGAGTCAAACACAGCTCCGCTTACATAGGGGTCTGGATTGATTCAGTGGTGGTTTGTGTGTGTGGGAATAGGCTTTGGCCATCAGATGGCTGCAGGAGAGAAAGAGGAGAGTGAAGAGAGGAGTGGGAAAAGAAAAAGGTAAGAAAGGAGATGAAAGGAAAAGGAAGGAAACTAAAAGAAAGGAAGGGAGAAAAGGAGAGGGGAGGGGAGGAGAAAAGGAAGGGAAGGGAAAGGAAGGGAAGGGAAGGGAAGGGAAGGGAAGGGAAGGGAGAAAAGAAAAGAAGAAAAGAAAAGAAAAGAAAAGAAAAGAAAAGAAAAGAAAAGAAAAGAAAAGAAAAGAAAAGAGAAAAGGAGACAGAGAGAGGGGAAAAAGAACCCCTTTTGAAAGCCTTAAACCTGCCTCTTTATCTCCCTAATCTGTATTTCCCCCCCAAAGCCTCTTTCTGTACAGGATGAAAGCAGATTTCTCCTCTTTATTTTCGTTTTCTGTGTCCTTTAGGAAGGCATTTGCTCGAGACTAATTGAATTTTCTGCCTGTGAAGAGAAAGACACGACACAGAGTGAGTTAAAGTCCGACACCAGGACAGGGCGCAGGAGCCGTGTTAACTGGTGTGGGGGACAGCCCCTCACTTAACAAAAGTGTTTAATTCTGTCCCCTCTTGTTAAGAAGGGGCGGAAGGAGGGGATATTTATTCTGTTCTTTTCTCAAGGTTTTTCCTTTCGGGTCACAAAGTGCCCCCCACGCTCCCGGCCCCCCCCTTCTTTCCCTGCTTTTGTGGCAGCAGCAGCTGGTGGGTTGCAAAGGGGACAGGCTTTGTCTTTTGACACACTTGAACATTGCTGCACAGAGCTGGGGAAACCTTTCCCTTCCCCACCTCTCGCCTTTCCAGCCGAGGAGGAGGGAGCGAGAGGCAGAGTTACAGCGAGGGGATAAAATGGCACAAAGGGTGGCTGGAGCTGTGGTGGATGAGGGATCAAGGCTGGGCTGTGGTGAGCAGATGGTGATGGGCATCAGGAGGGGGTGGGATGGCCCCGAATGCTGGGGAGGCTTGTGTTGAGCAAGCAGTTGGAGGGATTGGGGAGGAAAGCCATCCAAGAGGCAGCAGTGCCATAGAGTGCAGGGTTTAGCTCTTCCCAAATTTCACGAAGAATGCTCATCCCCTCCCAGGAATGGGTCCCAGTTAATCTTCCGGACACAACAAATGGAGGATTCGCTTGGTTTGTGCTGCCAGTCCATAAAAAGAGCTCCTTTTTCTGCAAGCAGCACTCTTGAGTCCTCCATGTAATGTGTGCAGACTCTTCAGGCCCTCCACAAAGGGTGTGCAGACTCTTTCCACACCTCTTCCAAAGATGGGACATTGAGGCTGATCCCCAAGGACGTGCACAATGCAAGCACGTTTGACATCAGGACATGAGGAATGCCATGGTGGAACCTAGCAGTGGTGGCCTGGGGCTGGAAAGAGATCAGGCTCCTTGCAGGCAAGAGCAGGAAATCAGGGCTTGACTCCTGATCAGTCAGAATAACCTGCCTGCATCCACCCTGTACCATAGGGTTTGTAGCCTGGGAACGGCCCCAGAACATTTTCTGTCCAGGTCAAAGCTAAAGGTAGAAAGCTAAACCCCATCTCTCTCATGATCTCACAGCTTGAAGACTAAATTCCTTCATTGTCCTCCCCATGACCAAGCACCTTGTATGAGATCCCAGCCTGGGACCATGCCCCTATCAGGCAGTAAAACCAATCCCTTGCAGCCTAATTGCTCTTACTGGGTGTTTACCTACAGTGATACCAAACAACGTGCACCAGGAGAAGGTCCTCCCTTCTCAGGCTGAAGATGCGAGGATGCGTGGACACTAAAGGATGATCCTCCTAAATCACAGCCAGTGGCCTGATTAAAGTCCATCCAGATCTGCCTTATACTAGTGCAAGCTGGCAGCTTCAGTGGGTGGACACTGGGGTAGAACCGGTACGAGGTGAGTGAGAACAGAGACCATAGAATCATAGGATTGTTCTAGATGTGAATTTTAAGCTCCGGACGTATACTCGAAGCTTTGGGAAATGCCTGCTTCCGCAGGAGCTTTCAGGAGAGTCCTCATGAGTGCAAAATAAATGGATATATTCATTATCCAAATTGTCTTATTTTTGTGGTGCCTCTTGAGTAAACCCACTTCTGAGGCTGCTCTAATTGCTTTGCAATCGAGCAGAGATAAATATTTATCAAAGAACTGCATCAGGAAACCACAGTTCAGAGAACCAGTATCGGGCAGTGTGTCTCAGGAAGGATGAGTCTGAGTGGTTTTAGCTTGCTGACCTGTAAGGCTTCCTCCCTCGCACGAGGCAGAGCTTCACCCAAGCTCAGACCCACATGGCACCACACCAGTCCCATACCATCTCCTGGAGCTGGTCATGCAGAGCCTTTGGAGGACTGATCTTCATGCTGGAATCCCCTTGTTGCCCTGTCCCATTGACCTGGTGTTTTCTGACACCTTTCCTTCCTCTGGCTTCATGGTCTTGCTTGCTTTCTATTAAAAACCCCAGAGACATGGCCCATATTCCTCTGGGAGCCGCAGTGCTAAAAGAGGCCCACATGCAAATATTTAGCCGCACTATTATTAGCACAGGAACATCCAAACAGATGGCAAAGTTTCTAGATCTTGCTGTGCAAAACTGGCTCTTAGGAATAAAATAGGCTGGGATGGAGCTCCGGGATTGCCCGCTGCTCCCTGCGATCCCAGACTGCTGCGCCGAGGCAGTAGGACACATGGGACAAGGGCTTTCTAGCATCTTGCATATGTGGGACATCCCTTCAGGAAGCAGCGTTTCATCTAAAAAGAGAGGAAATGATGCTGACAAGCAAATTTTGAGGCTCAATATGCCAGACAAGAGGGTTGGGTTCACAGCACAGCCATTCAGGTCTGCTTCAGGCGTACCTGATCCCTCCGCAGAGAGGAGGCATTTTGAATTGACCGCAATCTGCCGTGTGCTGTCCATAGCTGGGGAGGGCAGAAACCCCTCTGTTAATGTCAGCATCAGCATTAAGCAGCCTCAAGAACAAAGAAGAGCAGAATTTGCTCTGCTGCAATAGTTTGTGCCCATCCTCTAAAAAGCCTCTCTCCCAGGAGCACTCTCTCAAGACAGAAATGCCCAAAGAGGCGATTGTAATGCCAAGCACAAGCCAGCAAAAGTGCCGGTCTAAACTTCAGATGGATGATGTTCCTGTTTAATTGGGAGCGGGTGTTTTTTGACTCATGCAAAGGGCATGCTATTTTTATAATGAGCTGATTTCAGATCACAGCCTCCTTATGTTGGGCTCTGCACATACACCTAATGAGAGCCAGGTCCTGCTTAGAAGCCCATACAACAGGCTGAGAGTTGGAAGGAGAGCTCAGAAGCGTCTCACCCAGGGGCTTTGAGAGGTTGCCCGCCAGGGTCTATTTTTTCCATCCTCACTCATGTTGGAGAAGTTAAATATTTACTGAAGCTATTAAATATTTATGCTAAGCTGCTCCTCCCGTGGGGAGGCATCCTATCGCCGGCTCCTGGGGATCTGCAGCCAACTCGCTCACATGCCTGTGCTCAGCTCTGCTCTGCTCCAGAGTGCAAACACATGGGGACTTCATGGGGCTGCCATGTCCCGTAAGAAGGAAGGATCTGGTTTTGGCACCAATAATACTATTAGATGATGGACTTCATGGCTCTTTGGGTGTCTTACTTAAAGCTCAAGTCCTTCGGGAAGATGGGAGTTGCTCTTTGCTGTCCTTCCACCCCCCATGGAAGGTGGTGCCATCTCATCCCTGAGATAAGAACATCCAGCCTGACCCAACTTTGGCTTCCTCCATCCTCCCAGCAGGTCACGACCACCACCATGGGAACAACATGACTTGAGGCAGCAGGTCTCTAATCCATAGCATCCAAGAGGATTTATGATCAACACGGTAAGAGCAGGAAACCCTGTGGCAATGGCAAACATTGCTAAATCAAATGGGAGAAGCCCCATCCCCAGGGGAGCAAGTGGCAGCCCTGGGACGAGCTCTGAGCCGGGCTGAGTGGGTTAATGTGGCTGCGCCTCCCTGCTGGAATGGGGCCAGAGGAAAAAGGCTCCACCACTTCCCTGTCCGCCTGGAAAACAGGCCGGCTGTTCTCTCCAGCGGCAGGAGGCTGTTTATTCTGGGCCAGATTCAACAGCGCCTTGTCCACCCCAACCCCAAGCCCTGGCCCATGAGAAGGCTGAAGGGCACAACCTGCCTGGGGGAGGTCTGAGTGTGCTCTCCCCACCTGGTCTGACCCCCCCCCCGCCCCAGGCGCCACTTTGCCCTTCCTGTCCCCATCCCTTTCCTTTCCTCCCCGTCCCACTCCATGCGGGGCTGGGGACGCCCTTTCCTGCCTGGCACCCGGCTGGCTCGACGGCAGAGATGGTCCTGCCAAACATCATGACATTGTCCCCCCCTTGGCACTCCTGGCCAAGGCCCTACCACATTATCACTCTCTTCATCGTGATAGAAGTGCCTGGGAAAGAAAGAAGAAAGAAAGGAAAAAGAAAGGGCGTAAGAAACCAGCCTTTGGCTCGAGCGCGCCAAAGGGAGCGACAGTGCGTGTGCTTTGGCTCACTTTCTCGCCAGCTCTTTTCCCAGCTGAGCGATAAGAGACAGGGCGAGTGCAATCAGAAGCAGAGCAGGTCCCAGCGGCTTCACCAGCTCTGGGCTAGGATGACCGAGGGACACTGAGTGCTCCGCAGGGACATATTTCTGAAGTCAAGTCATCCTGGTGCTCCTCCAGCCACCCGACAGCCTGCTGCAAAGCATCGCTGCTGCCTCCACGGCCAAAATAAAGCTGTGAGGAGCCCTGACCCAGCAGAGGCACATTTAAGTGCTCCCCAGGCAGCCCCTTTCTTCAGCCACAGCAGGTTTCAAACAGCAGCAAGCACATGGGCTCAGCCGGACACGCTGGAGCATCCTGAGCACAGGATGGATGCTTTGGGTCCAAAATATGGCTGGCCTAGAAGGGCAGCTTGAAGGTTGGTTTTGAGGCTGCTCCTCAGCTCGCAGCACTACACAGTATATCACACCTTGTTGGAGCATGGGGTATGTGGGCTTTCTCACTTTTGAGCACACAGGCCACGGTGTGAGATACCAGTTGCGCTGGGAAAGGGCTCCAATGGAACTTGATAGTTGAGAGTTAAGGCTGGGAGAGGTTTGAAGCCACACCAGGAGAAAAAGCCATGAGGGCCAGCCTGCAGAGCCTTCAAAGTCCTCCTTGCTCCTCAACCCATCCAACAGCCCCCCTGCTCCAGCCCCACAACCAAGTGCCAAAGCCCCTCTCCACGCTTCAGCAGCCCCACATCAAATCCTCTCCATCTCCACACTCATTGATAAAGAGGAACCCCTGTCCATCTGCTCTCCCATGGGACCCCATTCAACACTAGCCCACGATGTCCTGGAAGTGGATAGGATCCTGAGACCATCAACCACCCCGATGCAGTGGTGTCATACAAGAACCCCTTGAGCCCTGAGCTCTTCATGGAACAACCTCTGAAATCAGGAGGCCCCAGCATGGTTTGCCCACCTCCAGCACAGTCTGGAAATGCCACAGCATGCAGCCGGCACACTCAGCTCACCCTGATCGCTGCTCCCCAGCCCTTCCTCTTAGTCACCTCTTCCTTACCATAATAAATTAAAAATCAAATGGGTATTATGGCTCATTATCCTCTCATCAGCATTAAATTAGCCAACCCAACAATGCCCTGATAGAGGCACCAGTAGGGCTGAGATAAGCAACAATAACAAAGGGAAATCAATCCTCTATGGCAGCCCACAGGGCTTGGGGTATCCTGGCAGAGAATGCAGGGCCAGGCACTCAAGGAAACCCCACCAATTAGCCCATCTCCTCATGGTCTCTACACCAGAGATGCTCAGCACCCCAGAAAGGACCCCAGAAAGCTGAAGGCAAGCACCTGGGATCCCCTGGGTGGTCCTGCGTGCCTGTGCTCCTCCATGGTGCCAATGGGATGGAGGAGAGACTCCAATGCCCATTAGAAGAGGCTGGGACTAAGCAAAGCTAATGATGTCCTTACAGCAAGCACTTTCCCCTGTGACAGCAAGACAGAGATGTCTGCAGGAAAACCTCTGCCTGGAAACCTCAGCTGAAATAGCTGAGGATGCCTCAGCATCATGGCCCATCTCCAGCTGATGTGAGCAGGAATTGACTTGAACCCATCAGCAAAGGTCTCAGTGATGTTTTGCTCAGCACCAAAAGGGGCTGTGAATGGGAATAACCCACCCCTCCTTCCTCATCTGCCTAGAAAACGGGCAGAAAAGGAACAATTGCAGCAGTCAGGGATAGCTTCAGCCCAGCTCGGGGTCTGGATAGAGCAGCTCTTGGAGGCAGAGACCATCAGGAGGGCTCAAGCCACCTCTGCTCCCTGGAGAGAGGTGCACGGAGAGGTGGGACACACACCCCTTGGGAGGAGTTCCTGTTTTGAGGGAAGAAGAAAAGGCCACGGACGTGGCTGTCAGGGATGTACTGTTGGCCCTGCTAATAGAAACCCTCTGTATAAACAGGGAGAGGATCCAACAGAGATCAGAGCTGGTTTTTCTTTCAAGAAAATTAAACATTTAAAACATTTGAGAACACACGCCCTCACCCCCCGGACAGTAATTAACTTCTTCCTGTGCAGAGCATGGAGCACTTTCCAAAAA